TGCAGAACAGCTTTGGAGCGATTTAAGTTTGTGTAACAGTTAAAAAAAAAGAATAGCATTTTCAGAGACAAGCAATTTGTAAAGGCTTTCAGGTATCATGACACAGCTTCATAATCACTGAGGCTAGGCATTTCAAGAAGTGATGTCAGAAAGCCAGTCCTGTTCAGTAACATTTGCAAACAAGTAGTTTAGATAATTGCTGTACTTGCACTCTAACATCTACCTCCAAACCAGCTATTTGTTGCAGCTGAGCCATGATATTTAAAAACATGTTATTAATGGTATTTCCCCCCTCTCTTGAATTTATTTTTTGAAAGTAATTTTTGTAGCAATAACAGCTGGTTAAAGGAAATTTATGCCAGTAAATGTTTCTTTAAGTAGGTCCTTTAAATGATGGTTAATGATTAATCTACACATAATCTTTTTTATCCCCAAAGGCTGATTACATTATTAGGCAAGAGATTAAGCACCTCTTCCCCAACCTCACCCTCACCCCAGAAAGGGGAAGAAAGAATACAATTTATATTTTATATATTTTCTTTCAGCACCACACCATAAGTCTTTTTTTTCCCTTTTTAACTCAAACAACTGATGAAGTATGTTGGAATCCTTAGTCTAAAGAAGCAAACTTTTGTAAGATTTTGAAAATGTTAACTGAATTTTTCATGTCCTGATTTCATGAAGTATACATGACAAGAGAATCAGTTGTTACCAGATTTTCAGCACAGTTCATCAGACTAAATAGTTTAGTCATCTTCAGTGTTGTGTTATTTTCTGAGCAAAATAGAAAAGAAATTGGACTTATGCATGCTGCATGAACACCTTGACCTTATGTGGTGACATATTCAAGAAACCTAATTATGATTTTACCCTGACAAAAACAACTTCTAGAAGTAGTGTAGCTGGGCATGTGTGGCAGGCAGTGCATCAGCCCTTAGCATTGGTATAGAACAGGGGTGGGCAAAATGCAGCCCTTGAAATGTTTAGAAAATTAATATTTATCTGACCTGGGCTGCCTGGCATGAGGCCCATGATGGCTTGCCAAAACTCAGTAAGTGGCCCTCTGCCCAAAATAATTGCCTGCCCCTGGTATAGAAGGTGTGCCAGTGTGGCCCCCATCCCTCTCCCCTAAGGAGTCTAAGTGGAATTAAGCCCCCCGGGGAGGATTTGCCATGGAAAGAACAGTCATGCTCCTGCTGAGGTAGAGGGTAGTAAATAGGGTACCACAAGCAGCTTCTGGGCTAAGTACAGACAGTCAAAAAGCCTGAAGCTGAATTGATTCAGCCTTTAAAGGTTACTCTAAACTGCAGAGCTTAAACTGAAATAGAAGCGACCAGACATTTACCTTTGATTCAGGGATTGCAGCAACATGCCTGTAATGGCTCATGCCAAAAACTGGTGGGGAGCAAAAGAGAATGGCTCTCTGTTCACTTCCTCTTCCTGCTGCCCCTGAGGTCTCTGGGATTTGCAGTTCAAAAAATCACAACAGTAGGACTCTGCAGAGTTGCTTATCACTTCCTGCTTCCAGGTGCCTCTGGGATTTTTAGTCCACAGTTGCAGCCCAGCAGTACTTTTGAGCGGGGGAAGGAGTGTTTAACCCACCTTGCTGGCCCCAGCCCCCAGCCATGGTTTGCCTGGGAGGGAGGGCAAGCCCCCCTGCAGACTGGGCTGAATCCTCAGCTGGACTTGCCTCCCCACCTCCCCCACTTGTCAGCCAGTCCTCACTACTCCAGTTAGGGAACAGAGGGGTGGTGCCAGCCCTGCTCTCTGAAGCAGACAGTATAGCCCAGCCCAGGGCTAGAAAATATGCTGTGGGACTGTGATTTAACTTGAAACAGGAAGGCACGTGGGATAGAAGTTTCATAAACTAGTTTAACCTAAATCAGTTCATTCAGATACTACATGCAGCCTGGTTTATATTAAACCAGTTTCAGCCATTTTGAAACTGGTTTATGTACACTGAGCTTCTGTTCTGTTACAGGTTTAAACCAGTTTCTAATCATGTAAACTGGTTTATGTGTAACTTCTGTCCCTAGCCCTGGGGTGTTTGAGCCACTTCCTGTCCTGCAGTTGCAGCAGGCCAAGCCTGCACTTCTACAGCACAGTAGCAGCTGCTGCCCAAGTGAGGAGATTCCAGGCAGAAAAGACATTCCCTCCCTGCTCCCCTGCCTTTGCTTTCTAGGGGTCAGCAAAGTTCCCTCTCCCCTGCCATCCTTGCTGGAGGCACTGAAAGAGCTTGCTACACTTCTGACTTCTAGTAACTGCGTGAATTTTGTGTGTGTAAGGACAATTTAATGAAGCCCTTGTATTTTGGTCTCACTGCACCCACAGCAAAGAGATGTGCTGAATTTAGGATATCTCAAAGTTCAAGTGAATTTCAGTGCATCTTTCTGGTATAGTTCTAGCCCCCCACCCCACCCCAAATTTAAAAAAAAAGAAAAGGAAAAGAAAAGAAAAGAAAAGAAAAAGAGTCAGTGTTTCACAAATTCAGCTGCCCATAACTGGCTATCTCAGCCCATTTGAACCTTTCTGTGTTTATAGACTGTAGGACACAGTAGTATTTGTGGCCATCTGTCAAGGGGTTGGTTCTCCATACTTTATGATGCATATTTAGGATGCCACCTTTGTGATCACTTCCTTTATTTTTCTGTAGTCAGTTCACCCTTTTTCATATGAATGAACAGCCATAAATAATTTTCCAAAATGTTAGATAAATCTTTCTTGATTATAAAAGTAACGTTCTGAAGTGCTTTCAGGGAACATATTGCTTGAGGGCTCTTACGTAAGTCACCTACAGAAAGGACAGGGCTAGATAATAAGAATCAATCAATGTCTGTGCTTCCTTAGGCAGAAATAATATATTTGAAAGTTTAGGTCTGATATCTGGATGGCTTCTAATATGTTCATTTCATTTTAGTCTCAAGTATCTGAGAGCTAAAGGCTAGGCTAGAATATGAACCTAACCTAATACTCCTGGGGTTATTCCTATGCCAGCCCAGGCAGATGGAAATAGCAGGCGGGAAATGTAAGGGGTAGGGGGAACAAAGCAGATAAGTACCTCCCACCCATATAAATAGAATACTGAAAATTGCCAGGTTTTCATTTTTCCTTGTTTCCAGGAACTACTCAGTTGGCTGGATTAGCAATATTGGCTTACCAGTTCTCTCTGTTTAATGTTTGGCTTTCCTTATGTTCTACTTTAATTATTTCTAGCCACCTTGTACCTGCCACCCCAGAGTCCTTCATATGTAACTCTACAGCATGTCTATTGGAGAATAAGAACCAGGCTGTGATATACCCATGCTTTTGAGGTTATGCAATCATCTGTGGAACCTCAACTAGTCCACCTATGTGGAATTTCAATTTATTTATAGGGAAAAAAAATCAGTAACAACTCCCCTTAACACAGGTGGGGCCATTTTCAGTCCTCCTGTGATGCATCTTTATCAGGAGAGCAACCAACTCGCTCCCCCACACTCACACCCACCCCCCAAGAAAAACAAAACAAAACAAAACAAAACAAAAAAGATGCTCCAGCATAATGGAAAGTTCAGCATCATGCTAAGAACCAGGAGAACATGTGGTATGATCTGTCCCCTATTTCCCTCCATTGCTTGAGGCTAATTAGATTGTGCACATCATAATGCTTGCTGGCCAAGCCTCTTAGGACCTTGGTACACATTAATTTTAGGTGGCTTCTGGAGCTCTTAACTCATGGGTTGTCCACACAGTAACATCTGAAACTAGTTTTAAACATACTCTAGGTGGCTTAAAATTATACCACTCCAGGCCAAGTTTATCTCTGATCTGTGTTACCTAGCTTGTGTTTCATTAATGTGTGGCCACTCCTAAATTATAGTCCTTCACCATCCCAAGATGCACTGTCCCCTTCTCCACCCTCCTGTTCTGTGTGGATAAACATTCTACCCCCTGAACTGTACTGCCCAGCAGTTGTTTCTGAGACCAAGCTAACTCCCCCACCTGCCCACGGGGGTATGACCTTTCCACCACCAGTAGTGTAACCCCATGCAAACAGCCTGCAGAGCATATGCCAGCTAGGCATGTTGCAGGGCACAAACGGGTCCCCCTCCACACCCCAATCCCAAATCCTAATTTATTAAAATTGGAGATTTTTTCTTTAATTTACTTCCTCTTTATTTCTTTTTAACTTCTTTTTCCCCCTACCTTATCTTTTGGTGGCTGACTTGCATCATGTTACCACCCTTCTCACACCCCCATTTCCATTCCACCTCCCATTTCATTACCTACCCCCATCCCATTAATCCTCTGCCTCCCAGCTTCATGTTCCCATCCCCACCAACCCATCTCACACACCCCTGAACAGGCCCCTGCTCACCAGCCCTTTAGTGGCAAGTCACAGTTGTGCAGGTGGGGGATAGTAAGAAAAGGCTTTTAGCCTTAAGGTTTGGCTGCTCCAAACACAAGCTACCACTAACACAGATCAACATTTGACAAGGTCAAAGTGCAACGTGTATCAAGGCCCGTACATCAATCTAGGAGGAATACAAGTATCATTTTTGTCTTTTTTTTTATACCCAAAGTAACTCAAAGGTTATATGTAGTCACTTCAATGACTTCTGTCACTGTATTACATAATTCAAAGCATTTCAGCATGAAAATACCAAATGCATGTTCTATGGTGTTTAACTAGGAACTTTTGCTAAAACTGCTCATAAATTCTGGCATTGAACCCAGAAAGCTGGATACCTAACATTCCTGTGCTTTGTATAACCCATCAGCCACACCTGTGTTGTGTTCTTCTCAAGAGCTTTTGTACATGGAATACAGCCTAATTCCACTTAAAAAAAACCCTTCAGCTCAAGTGGCAGACATCTATGTTATGGAGCTAAAGAACCTATCTTCAAACCTTTTTATCCATCTTTAGTCAGGGGGCAGAAATAATCTGTTATGGATATTTACTAAAAATGTAATGACATTTCTTATAAAATTCTATTCTTTTGTATGCACTGTTTTCACAGTTGAGATTGAGGCCCAGTATTGATACGTATTAAGAGGCAGTTACATCCTGTTGCAGAGCATGATGGTGAGTTTGTATGATGGAATCAGAGTGTACCAAACTCATTGCATATATGGTCTAATATAATTTTATTAAATGGCAACACTTCTTAATTCTCAGTTCTGGGCAGGATTCAAATTGATAACTGACAGATAAAAGATGTTATACCTCATTAGCAACATTTTGAAACACCTGGGCCCCAGAAGTGCTAGACTAGTACTTTTGGAGGCTAGCATTTTGTTTCCTGTAGAGAGGTTTATAAAATCAATCTCTGACCTTTTGAGACCAGGCACAGAAAGGGTTTTTTGCTTCTTGGATGACTAGGGGAAAGTTGCTTGAAGACAGCCCTCTAAAGTACTCCATCCAATTTGAAATTAATGGTTCTCATCAACAAATAAAAACACAAAATGTAGTAGTAGAACAAATATTAATGTACAATCTAGATTCACTTCTCATATGCAATGAATTATTATAAAATAATTTAATTAATTTCTCCAAACTGCTGTTATACAAGGGTCCTCAATAAGGATTACAGCAGACACCTCTTGCACTTTTATTATGGAAGCTACTGGAAGGAAAGGTATGTTATTAATCTTTGGGCAGATCCTCCCACAAAAAAGGACAAAATGCATATTTTTCTTACAGGGTTACCTAAATATTGACAAGACAACTTTACAGTGCCGGGTATTAGAATTCCTAGGGCACAGACAGAAGTGACAATTTCCACCCGGTCTGGCCACAGAAAGTGGTCTGGAGCCGTGACCAGACACAAGTGGCTGCAGACTGCTTAAAAATGGCAGACTAGGTGAAAATCTGAAGCCTCATTGCAGGAGGGGTCAGATGAAGATGTTTCTAAACAGCTTATCTTCTGTAACTTATGTCTACCTGCCTGCCAACCTATCACTGTTTTCAGAATGGGAGGGAGGAAAGAGAGCAGAGGGAATTCGATCTGGGTTTTCTTCAGCCCCCAAGGTGGGCGGAGGTGGGGGGTCCAATTCAGCTACCCCCACCCTCCAGCATCATCCCTAGAATGAGCTCCCTCTGCTTCCTTTCCCACCTCCCATTCTGAAAACAGAGACAGGCTGGGAGAGAGGGGCTGTTGCTAGAGGAAACCTGCTGCAGGCTCCCAGCCAGCAGCTAAATTCCCCTCCCTCCTGAAACCAACAGTGAATTTCTGTTTGGTTTGGGAGATCGTTGTAACTCAGAATGCTTCCTGCAATGTGTTCTCAGTTACAGTGGGGAGCTGCACTTCTGTCTGAACCCCTAGTTTCTATTCTTGGTTCTCAGAAGAGAATGTGAAATAGTGTTACACAGTATAATCAGATGTAACAATTCCTGTTTAGGTTTTCTGTGGTTACTGGAGCCAGGATCTCTGGGTGTAAACATCTTACCCTAAACCACTTGACCTATATTTATATGAAAGTAGTAACTTCTGTATATAGCTTTGTTGAAAAATGGTGACACAAAGATATGATGTTTTACTGTGAATCATAAAAGTGTCTAATTTGCCACACTCCTTCTGAAAGTGTGTTAAGTAGTGAGTTTTCTCTTCTGTATTAAGGACCTGACATCTATTTCAAGCTTATCTATGAAATGGCTAAATGATTGCTTTCCTCAGAATTTTAGTGATGCTGATCTTAGCTGTTCTTATCACAACAGGAAGCCAACTGTTAATCACTGTTGCAATACAAGCAATGATAAATAATTAATTCAGCATGGCTTCGTGGCCTTACCTAACTTAACATTGCAGAGAGGTATCCTGAGCTACAGTTGCTTTACAATTTGCAGTAGTTCAGGTTTGCACCTTGCATGGAGATCCTACAACCACAAACATATGAATTTGCTCATTCAAATAAAGCTGGTTAATATTTTTGCCCAAATTATTTCCTCCTCCTTATTGTAGATTACTAATGGCTGTTATCTTCTGAACATTTACAAAAGAAAAGGAGTAAATCCTTTTGTCATCTTGACTTCAACTTTTCCATAGATAACATGTTTTTTTCCACTTTATAATAAAAGAGCTGCAAAAAAATTAAGCATTGTTTCTTTATAGGAAACCAATGGATTAGCTAGAAAAATATCTTATGCACACACTGCTGAGTAATGAGCCATCTCCTGTACAGAAGCTTGACAGCTGAATACATGGTTTGATGGCTGATTTCAATAGCCAAATCTGTTGATTTAGGAAAAGAGGGAAAAGTGTATTTTGAATGCTTGGGAAAAGAAAAAGAACAGAGATGGAGGTTGGAGAGGAACTCTTAGTGCAAACTGAAGAATTATTCTAAATAAGGCAATTCTGAATGTTCAAAGAAGAAATGTATACAGCGGGATAGATTCAGTCCTAGTTTTGTAATGTTTAAAATAGCATTTATCACCTGTTCATGACCTTGAATGTCCCTACTATACATCAATATTTGTATGTCAGAGTTTCTAAACTATTTTATTTAAAAACAGCAGTCAACTATTTAATACTATCTAAATGTTTCGCAAGCTTTTTATTAGCCATATGTAAAGTATAAAAAAAAAGCAAAATTATATATCTTTTTCTGGGAAAGGATAGTGTTCCAAGGAATTTTCAGTGCTTGAACTGTAAGGAAAGAAAGCTGGGCATGAAAAAGAATTATGAAACACTTTTGTTTCCCTGCTGTATTGCAAATTTCCTGAAAGACTTTGGACAAACTTTTGTATCTATATAAAAAGCTTCTTTATCTACATAAAAAGGGGGTGGGGGAAGAAGAGGAGAAAGAGTGGGATCACTTAACCACTTCAAAGAGTGTGGCTTAATTCCTGTTTAAGTATTGCCTTCCTCTTAAGTTTCATAGAGAAGCTTAAAGGTTTGGCCACAAATGCAACTTCTGACAATTCAGGGGAGAGGGAGTGCTCAGGAACTGCTACTTCACTGCTTTTTAGAGGCACAGCACCCCACATGTTGAGGGCAGGGGTATCAGGGCTATGGTCACACTTTTAACCTTTGCAGAAGAATTTCCTTCATTTTCAGATATTCTATATTCTGAACAAGTTATTTTCTGCCTGAAAGCACTTGTTTTGTTTCAGCCCAAAGGTGAATGTTTATAGAAGATTTAAGTGTTTTATTTACTGGTAGGGGGGAGACCAGAAAGGTACGGAATCGTGTTTTAACACGAACATTTGTTTTGTCAAACCTGGAAGTCCCACTCCTTTTTTCTGTGTGTATTTGTGTGCATGTGCATTGTGGGGAAGGGGTGGGTGGGTGGTAGTTTAACATACCTTGGGTTTTAAAATGACTTGCATACCAAACAACATAGATACATATAGCAGAAGCTTTTGTGAGCCTTAGCTAACAGCATCAGAACAGTGTATGAAATGGAGAAAGTGATTAGAATACAAAAGCCAGGAAAGGAGAGTGGGGAGGGGAGGGGGGGGTGGATTTCAGAAAGAAGATATATGAACATACCTGAGTAAATTTGTGTAGACTGATTGCAATCCATTTTATTCAACTGAGTATTGTGTCATCCATGAGTAGAGAGAAGTAGTTAGCCATATTAATCTGAAATAATCTGTCTCTATTTTATATTTTATATACACACACACCTCAACAACCCCTCCACCCCCTTGCTTAGTGTATAAGGTGCAAATCTACCCTGCCTTTTTCTTTTAATATGACTGTGAATATGAAGTAGTATTGGGGACCTTGGCATATACCTGATAGTTTAGGTCCCTGTTCAACAAAGGGTCCTTAAAAAAAGTTTGCTTGGTTAAAACTAAAAGAAATAGTTGTCAGGAAAGCTTGCAAGGAAAAATGAAACTATGTGAAATCTAAGTGAAACTGATATTTTCTTTTACAGAAGAAATTTAATCAGAGCTACGCTTGCAGGTTTCACTTATTTATAAACAACAGCATATTGTAATCTGGGAACATTGTTTGCTTTCTATTTTGGGGCCAAATCTTGGAAAATGGACAGAACCCCCCATCTTGGATTTGAATACAAGGCAGCAGAGGGGAAAGGGTGGCAGCTGCTGCGGCTCTGACTCTGGCTCCATATAATAGTATCAAGCTTTTTATTCCCCCCTTTCTACTAGTAAAGAAAAATTACAGTGTCTTCTAGTTCATATTGGATTTTAAGGCAAGGGTTCTGTTTGTTATAACAGTTTGTTACCATAGGAGTATAAACTGAAAGGTACCAATGATGAGTTAGTGTAATATATTATATTAAATAAACTTGTCCTGTTAGCACTGCTTGCAAGACTTTGTTTACATTACAGTAAGCTGTTTTCTGCTGCATTTAGTATTCTGCTATACAAGTTAGTTAAGGGAGCTCATGACAGCATGGTTTGTTTTCTCTATACAAACTAAAAGGCGTTGTTTTTTTTTAGCATATTTGCTTGTACTTGGTTGCTTTAAAGTTACTCTATGGACATCATCAACCCTATCATCTTAAAAAGAAAACTGATGAAAGGCAATCTTATCTGCTTGCTCTCAAATATAAAGGATGGACAAATATTAAATATTATATTTAGAATTCAGAGAGATAGCAAACACTATTGAATAACCTTTCATAAGTATGTCCCTCTCCTTCAACAGCAGATGAATTTCCATGAAATGAAATGAATTAAAAGAGTGAGTTCAATCATATGCAGAGCTTTGGCTGCTTGATTGGCTCTGTTATTCTGAAATAACTCCACTGATATTGGTTCATGTCTGCCTTCAGTCCACCTGAACAGGTGTGACTAATTTGGCCTGCAACATCTTTATTAATGGTAAAAATGGATACACTGACAATGGGGAGGGAAATTGAGCCCAAATTTCTAGTCCTAGCATAAATTTGCAGGCCTGATGATGGAAGGTAAAATTCCTCTTGCCAATATAATCTGTACCCCAGGTAAGAACAAAGCAGGCCATCATACTTTTTTTCCCCCAGAGCATGTTTTAGAACAGAGGTTCCCAAACTTTTTCTTATTCTGTACCTGCTTCCAGATTTACCAGCTGCCCATGTACCAGCATATGTTTTATATTTTAACCCCTTAAATGCTAATTATTATTATAATGA